ATTTTGGAAGTGAGTACAAAAGATAAAAATAAAAATAATATTTTCAAAAACCACGTTTTTGTAGTGGAGAATAATAGCTAAGAAACAAAAATTTTAAAAACGAAAAACATGGGAAGCATGAAATATATAACAGTACATATACACATTTTCTTACTCATACACATGCACAATCACATGCACAATCACATGCACAATCACATACACATATACATACATCCACATGCATATACACAAACATATTCCGCATACACATCCAGATTCAGATACAATTACAGATATACATACATGTTCTCATGAGCACACATACTGTTACTGTTATGCATTTCATGCGACCCACGCTTTTCGTTTTTAAAATTTTTGTTTTTTAATTATTATTCTCTACTACAAAAACGTGGTTTTTAAAAATATTATTTTTATTTTAATTTTATATTGACAATTGTGTAAAATTTTTTACATCATTTTAAAGAATATAAATTATTCTTATAATCTTATGGTGAGCCTTTAAGTGATTGTAAGTTTATTCATTAATTTTCTACCATTTTATAAAATTTTTGCTGGCACCGAAGCTATTGGCATCCCTGTATATAATTTTTTTTTATTTTTTCCGCACCTTTTTACATCAGTTAAACAAAATAAATGTGCACAATTTTTTAAAAAATCTTTTTCCAACAAAATTTTAACTTAAGTGAAAAACTTTTCCAGAATCACATTATAAACTGAATAAAAAAATATGCGGTTCATAAAAAATTAAAATTTATAGATTTCCAATGAAGCATTTACAGCTGAACAGTCTTTTTCCTTATAGATCACTATCAATAAATTATATCATATGTTGTAAATCTTACAGCACTAAAAAGTTTATTAGTATAAAAAAAAACTACTGCCGCTGCATTACCATTTGCATCATGATTTTTATCTGGTTAAAGTGCTAGACTAGAGAAGTTTAAAGCAGAAAAATAGTAATTTAGTTTGACTTTTTGTGACGAAAACGGAATGTTTATGCAAGTTGTGGCAGTGAAGAAACCATTTACTTCCTGATCGAACTAAGCTACCGAATGGGTGGAGACAAGGAGGGAAGATTCGAAATATTATTTTAATTCTTGTGATTTTCAGTAATGAACCGATGGTGGATATTTACTCTATTGGACAATATGCTTCGAAACCTATAAAATGCAAGGCTGTCATCCAATAACAATATGAGATGAGGGCTAGGTTCTGTATTCTTTTTTTTCTTTTTTTTTAAAAAAATTATACTGCTGTGCAATTTGAAAATTAACGTAAGCGACAAAAAATTCAAAGTTAAGAATTTTATATAATTAGCTTTTCCGTATGATAATTTACAAATTGCAAAAAGAAATTTTTTAAAAATAAATTTTGTTTCATCAGTTGTTTGAAATTCTGTTTTAGCGTTCATAGCATTAGCAATGGAAATAAAATAGCGTTCAATCCACTTTTCTCGATATCTATCGTGAAGCACCGTCTTCTTTAATTGCACGGCAAATTTTACTGATACACTTTCGAAATGAGTTTCAAAAAGTAGTTCAATCTTTTATACGGAGAAAGAGAAAATTCTGCAATAATCACCGTTCCGTACAGTAATGACACTTCTGGTTAAAAAAATTCATTCTGGTAATAAAAATCAAAATATACGGTATTTAAGCTATTCATTTATTCAATTAACCGTTTATATGGTAACTGTTTATTGGTAATTCTGCTTTTCCAAATTACAGATCTAATTACCCAACATTCAGTAAAAAATACAAAATTGAACAGTCAATTTAACCAAATAAGTGATTTTTCTGCCATAATTAAAGTTATCATGATACTACTGCTAAACTTTTTTATATATTATAAAACCATATTTTATTGTTAATTTTACCAACTTTACCAAAGCACTTCGAGAAAATTACCAAGCTTATTGGTGTTCCAATAAATCCAGAAACACGGTAAATATTAGTATATTCTGGTCGTTTTGACCACACTTGCTTCTCAGTGTACATATGTCTGTTTTTAGATTTTGAAAAATACCTTTATGTTTGCTCAATTTACGTTTAAAGAATTATCATCATTCAAAAAATCTGTTTTAATTAGTTTAGACTAGTAAAATAAAATTAAACAAAAACTGATATATATGCAGTTTAAATTACTTACTCAACTACAAAGTAATGCTTTACATATTTAAAAAAAATCTATAGAAAGGTCTGACAATTGCACTTTTTCTTCCAATCTAGTAATATAGCGACCCCTTTTACTTTCAGTTTTTTTCTGAAAGGTATAGTGATGTCGAAAGTCACCATAATCAAAAAATTGTTAAGTACAAAATAACATCAAGACACTGTGTTTTACACTATGCATTAAAAGTTAAAAAAAAGCGTTCTATAATTTCAATTCTTCAACAAGCTATGCATCTGATAGACAAAAGATGTGCTATACATTATCAAGAAAACATTATTCCCAGCATTTTGTACAAAAATTTTAAAACCAGATAAAAAAACAATCAAGAGAAAATTGTTTTCAAATCATGTTATTTTGGTGACTGACGCAAAGTCAACAAAAATAGATGCATTCTCTTGAAAAAAATAAAGAAAACCTTTACCAATTAATGGCAGCTGGGACCCGCCATATAATCAAACAATCATTACGGTATGTGTTATATCAGCACGGTAGTTTCTGTGAACCCGAAGCTGGATAGCATTTCAGAATTTTGATATTACAATAAATTAATTTCGATTTCGATATTTCAATAAATGATACACGAAATTGAATAAAATGGATATTCTTCTTAATTAAAACAATATTTATTTCTTATTTGCAAATAAGTATTTACTAAAAAAGCTAAATTTTTCTGATTCCTTCATACTCCATAAAAACTCTCGAAAGAAAATTACAATCATGAGAAATTTTATTTTGCATAGCAGTTTTTAGAAAATAAAAAGTTGAGTTTCTTATAAAACTACAATTAGATCAGTCATAGAAAATTTCATACTACAGATTTATATTTTATAACCGTCTTTGAACAGCCGACCCAATTTTTGGGTTTACGACTGCTAATGTTCAACTACGTAACCTTGTAATTTTGAACCCAATTCAGAAGACAAAGGAGCTTCTGTATGAAGTATTTGGAAAATTTGCCTTCGTGGAGGACTTTTTTGATGGAACTAACCCGCATTTGCGTTACATGGAGAGGAGGACCACGAGAACCTCCCACGGTTAGCCTGACGGCAATGGAAATCTAACCCATGATCCGTCTACTACTGAGGATATTTCACGTCAGCACTGTGGTTGGTGCAAGCCGGATGACATACTACTAGTACTTCATACTAGTACATTCGTATCGACCAGCCATTGCCCTGATTCGAATCCAGTTCACCTCATTGAAAGGCGAACGCTCTATCTCCTGAGCCATCGCTGATTATATACTACAGATTTTGTAATTTAGCATTATATATTGTTTTAAAACCTATAAATGCAACAGCATCGCCACTAACTTCCATTTAAGCTTGTTTCTTCTAACTCGCACTGATAAAGTGAACCTGTTTATCTCTTCATTCTTTTGTTAAATGTTTAATAAAGTTTTTGTTTCTAAATGCTTGCTTTATTTAATTAGTCGAAATGCTAAACGCTAATCTCTACATTATATATTATGGTAACATTATTATTCCTCTTTTATTAATTTTTTTTAGATCAATGTTTTATTAAGTTTAAACATTAAAAAAACGTGAAATTATGCTACGTTTATTAGTTACATAATTCTAAGATCCTATATGTCCCCTTTAAAGAAAAGAGCTGGAATTTGTGTAAATTCATTTTCTTTATTTAGACCCAAAAAATATTTTTAAATATATTTTGTTTTATTTAATTTCTTGAAACGTGTTTTATTGAACCTGGTTAACAAATTTTTAGGTTGCAAGTTTTTCAAAACTAACTTTGAATCACTCTGAAATTTGAAAGCTTGAAATATTTACTACAATGAAATTTAAATGTTTGCGAGTAGGTCCAAGAGATCACAATTCATTGAATTAAATTAAACAAATATTAATTAGTTGCTTACTAACAATATTAGGATCATGGAATTCTCTGAAGATAAAAATGGTGGAAATGGAAGCAAAGTCTGTCTTAAGATCACCTTTAAAAATTAATTGTAAGAGAAATTAAATTCTAAGTACAAAACAGATCTATACATAACATTTAGCATAACTTAATCTAACACTTGAAAATAAATAGTTTAATATTGTTTTAAGCAAAGTACGTAATATATTAGTGTTTTATACTTCATACCAGTACAACAGTAAAATGCACACACATTCTAGGATTTAAAATGTAATTATACTTTGGTGTTATAAGCAGAAAAATTAAGATTATAGCAGTGTGTTTGAAGTTTAAAATACTGCGACCTCAAATAAAGTAACGAATTTTTGAAAAATAAAAAATGAATTCAATATTTTAAGGTGAAATTAATTTTAAAAAGTAAAATTGTTCTAAAAAAATTGCATTGTTTATATACCTCGATACTACGAAACGTAGTATTAATTTAATAACATAATAATAATTTAATAACATTTTCATAGTTAAAATTTAGATTTAATTTTGTTCTATATTTCGGCACTTGAATTATAAGTCATTATACACAAATTCTGTTTTTCAATGAGTTGATAGTAATAATAACTATAATAAATAAAAGAAAGTCGCAAACATATTGGTATAGTAGGCATTAATTTAAAATAATGCTTCTTTTTCTTAACTTTAAAACCTATAAAATAAAGTTTTATTTATTTTTTGAAATATCAATGAACTAAAAAAATTTAAGTTCAGTGAATTGGCATTTACATTAAAAATATTGCGTTTATATGCGTGGTTATTTATAAAAAAAAAATGATTCACAGAACAACCCTTTTGAGCACACAATCTTATTCAAACTCCTCTTTCATGCTTAGATGCAATTTAACAACATAAAATTTCATGATGTGCCAAAAAAATACAATTACAAATTTTAAACTTACTCTTTAATTCTGCTGTGTCTCAATAGATAATAATTTTCCACAAATTCTTGTTTTTGTGCTTTTACAATAACAAAAAGAAATAGTTATAACGTAATTTTGAAAACACGATGTAGTTTAAAATATTAACTTACTCATATCTTTTTACATTGAATAACAGCAAATCAACAACATCAGAATGGCTGAGGAGTTTTAATTTCGACTACCGGAAAAACTTCCTATCAATTCTGCCTTTTAGCCTTTTTATCAATTCATTGAAAGTTTTATACTATGTACTTCCCCTTAATGAGGATCGAACAATATGTCCGCACGCTACTTACATGTCTTTTTCACTAGACCGTAGCAGAGCCATAAGGCATTTCAGTTCATTATTTTGTCCACAATAAAACCTTAGTATAAGTGAAAAAGAATAAAATATTAAGTATTTTCTTATCAGAATAATGGATTACTTACCCCTGCTAGACACATATAAATTTATGATAAAGTATGAGAGATTAAAATTGACTGTACAAGCTTTTTTATGTATAAGAGATTTTATTCGTGAAATTTTATTTAATTTTTGTAATGTCTTAAGTGATTACTGTCTTTAAAATTTCGACAGTATATTTAGAGATAATATATTTATTTTGATTTAGAACTTGGATTATTAAAATACCAAGACTAGATTCAAAATCCAAAAGGTTCTGGGGTCAAGTCCTTCCACCAAACCGTTTGAAGGTTTAAGGTATAAGGTTCAATTATCAGCATAATCAGCATAATGTATTTTCTGCTCTGATGTTTTTCCCTAACTTGTGCTACATCGAGACTAAATATGATTGCAATTATATGAGTTCTGGCAACATTTCAAAGATAATCTAACAAATCTACCTAAACTTTGTTTATTTTATTTATTTATGCCCCCTGCATGTAGGCTTGTGAGATCAAATACAAACGTACGGCTTAAAAGCCATTGTAAAGTAGAAGAACAGATAGTACAATTCAGAGAAGGACAGCACAAAGATACATCTTGGGTTACGGTGAGATTCAAACCAATTACCTAAACGCTATAAAGTGTTGAGCGGGCGATACAGCTTGGCAAGGGAGGCCGCAATAAACTTTGATTTTTGTGATTATTATCTAAAAAGAAATTTATGACATTTTTAAAGAAATTTATAGAACTTTTAAATAGTTTGCAGCTGTAATTGGAAATGTGAACTAGAAGACTTATAAAACTCTCCAGTATCACAAACTTAATATTGAATTTGGAAATAAAGATGCTCCTTTACTATACGTTTTTTTTAGTTTGTTTGTTGACAAAAGAAGTTTGCTCCATCATTACTCAGATAAGTTCTACACCGATGGTTTATTTTTGTCAGGTTTTATAGTTCACCAATCCTCGGTCATCGGTATAATGAAAAAGTGATCAAGTCAAATGTTTAAGATTATTCTTGGTAAAATTAAAAATAATCTTTAAGCTGTTGATACGTAGAGCAACAGGACTTCATCATTTTGTTTTTGTTTGGCTCTTACTTATAGTACTATTTTTTTTGGTCCCCCAAAACTGACAGGCATAAAAACTTAGCACACGATCTCATTTTTTAAAAAATTTTCTCAATTTTTTACACTTTTTGGAGTCTGCCTAGGATATAGGCAATGAGAGCTCTTTAGTGACTTAGTTATACAAAACTACAACCTTCTCTTGCTAAGCTACAAAACTAAGATGAAGATGGTAGCAACTTTATATCTCAATGTCATTGAAGAGCCTCAACTACTACTTTCTACGATTGATCTGGTTTCGATACCTAGCCATGCTGGTATTCAAAAGTTTCTTCTAAGGATATATATCGCAAAATCAAATCTCCCACTCTGCAAAGTTGTCAAACAGAATTTTTAAACAGCAAATATATTTCAGATTTTCCTCACGAGGTGCCTACCCTTGTCAACTAAACTTTTTCTCGAGATACCAAGACGTCACCAAATGCAAATATTGGGAAATCGAAACTATATACCATATTATATATACCATATAATGTCAACATGTCCAACGTATCGACCGCATTATACTCCAATGTCAATGTTCAAGTTATATTCACCGAAAACATCGCGGCCGTGGATTTCTGTCAGTCTCCTGGCTGATGGACACAACTTACTCTAAAAAATCATCTTACCTAAAGTCCTGCTTGCCATCTACTAAGTGCTTCTAAACAACTCAATCTCCAATTTCCTCTCCCATAATCCATGAGTGCTACAAGCGCATTTGGAAAGTACAGAGCTCCAAAACAGATCGTTACTACTAATAATGCTACGCCCCATAGCGATTTAACACTCCTCAACACGGATTACAAGGAATAATTAAATTTTCTTCGAAAATAAGGGAAAAATGTCAAAAACAAAGTGCAATAAAAAAATAAACAAAAAGATATTGTTTTCCTGAGTTTGGCAGTTTTTTTCATCTGTTTTAAGGAGATAAAAATTGTTACTTGAAATCTAATTCTGAGTATTTCAAACCCAAGAATCACACTTCTATTATTACATTTCAATTATTTTTCTATTAGCCTTTCGGAAAAGGGACTCCTGAAAGGGTCTAAAGTTCATAGTACAGTCGTTTAATCCCTAGAAAAGGCTTTCCTAAAGAAAAATCTCTTTTTGAAGCCTCTGATGATTTCTACTGCTTAGCTGGTAAACTACACTGGTGGACAAAATTAAGAGATGGAAAGCATTTTTGCATATTTCTATGACGCTATATTCTTCTATGACGTACATTTCTATGACGCTATGATGCTATTTCTGGACGGTTATTGATATGGAGGGAACCTGGAACCCGATACCATCCCACCAACATTATCGAAAGGGACTATTATGCTGGTGGAGGACTCATGGTTTGGGCAGGGATCATGCAAGATACCCGCACACGGCTCCATGTGTTTGACAATGGTTCCGTGAATGCCCAGAGGTACAGACAGGAGGTCCTAGAGCCCTATGTACGTCTTTTCAGGGGCGCTGTTGGCCCAGAGTTCATTTTTATAGACGACAATGCGCGACCACATAGGACTCTCATGGCTGATGAGTATCTGGAAAGCGAGGATATTCAACGAATGGATTGGCCAGCCAAATCCCCTGACCTGAATCCTATTGAACATGCTTGGGATGCTCTTGGGAGAGCTATTGCGATGCGCCAACCTCCCCCCACCCAGAACAGTAAGAGTCGGTGTCTGTCTCTCTGTTTCTGGCAGCACGCATTTTTCGTACTTATTTTTTCTGCATAAACCAGAGCCGGATTATACCTTTCGTAGGCCCTNTCATCAATATTTTAATCTCCAATGTTTTGCATACTTTATTATCATGGAATAAGCTATATCCATACCAAATTTCATTTATTTATGTTCAATATTTTTTGAGGTATTTGGGAAAGTGTCTTCCATCTCTTAATTTTGTCGACGAGTGTAGATCAGAGCTATTTATCACTGCCTTTATGCCAAAGGTTTATCTTCAATGAAACATATAAATCAAAATCATAAAGAATGGAAGAGCATATACACTCTTCTTTTCAGTAAATTCTTAGTTATAAAATATTTATCATAATCATAATTGTTATTTTGCATTATTTTTTTATCGGATATTCTTCTTTTGAAAATAATAAATATTACTTTTAAAAGGCATACTCATTTTTAATAACATTATTTATATTTTAAAGAAATTCTTATTTTTAAATATATTATTTAATTTTTTATTATTTTAAGAGGATTCTTATTATAATATATTATTTTAAGAGGATTCTCATTTTTAAGAACATTATTTTTTAAAAGAAATTCTTACTTTCGAAAAAAAATTCCTTTTTTGAAAACATTATGTAATTTTACCGAATATTTTTATTCTACTTTAAGAAGCAATTTCGAAAGTCAGACACTTTAAGAAATAATTTTAAAAGTTTTCACCGCGTTTTCCTCAGTTTTGGTTCGAAAGATTTCAGAACATAAAAATTATCTAAGAGTGGTGTTCTATATTTTGCTTTTGAAATGTAACTTTTTATTAAATGTCATGGTAGAATATTAAGTTTTATTATTAATATAAGGGATAAATTTTTATTAAATTTTTACGATAGCGAGAAATATTTTAAGAATCATTTTACAAGGATGATGGAGCAAACTTCTTTTGTCTACAAACAAATCTGAGCAACAAAACCACTTATGAGTTTTTAAAGACATTCTGAATAAGATTTTTTGAAATTATACTTCGGCATTATATTATTTTTGCCTTTCGCTTAAATATTACAGCACTTGCTGTTAGCTCATTAATTAGTAGAATAAGTCATTTCATGGCCATCTGATGTCCAAGAATGAAATTACTTATACATGAATGAAATGTCTTCGTTTATCATACTAATGTCCACCGGATATTGGTATTAACATTATTTGATCACTGATCAAAATTTGATAAAATTCAATAAATAGCCCTCAATTAGAGGGTCAGAAATGTTCGGATGAACTATTTTGCTTCCGTTTCTTTAAGATACAGCTCATCCACAGGTGTCATTCTTAGTTTCTCTTTCACTTAAATTACTAATTTACCTTTCATAATTTTTTATTGTGATGGGGATCGAGATTTGTCAGAATATGGAAGTATCAGGTGTATGAACGAAGAGATATTTCCTTATCAAAAAATGAACAGTATTTAAACAGCAGCAGATCATTTCTTTTACTTTGCCCAGAATTAAACGATAAATTAAGATAAACTATTTCAATTTGTGAAACTCTAACCTTATTAATATTAATTTTCAAATTAAATTAGTTTCGCTTACATTAGTTAAGATTTTTAATTGAAAACCAACTTATAATAATTTATGTAATTGATTTTAACAAGCCTGGCTTGCTTATTCTGATTAAAAAATTGAGAAAATACTATCGATTTTTTTATGCGAAATAGATATCCGATTAATGAACTCAGCTGCTATTGAAATCAAAATCCTTAGGTATCGATATTATCACATTAAAGACACGGCAAGCACTGCGTTTTTCTACTCTATGATTTTCGTTTCCCTTTGGAAAATAAAATCAGATTAAAAAGGATGTTTTTTTTATGAATTAATTAAATGAAGTAGTTTTTACAGAAGTATATCAGTACATATACTATTTTCACATTTGATTTTTTTTTAATGCAGAGGGAAAGCTTTTTTTCCATCCCATATTGTTTTTCACAATTATTTTCAGCTAAATTTCAGATCTTTTCCAACTGAAAGAGAGAGTGCTAAAATTATATTATTAAATAGATTCCTGAAATTAGAATCGAATGAAAATAAAGCAATTTAAAAGTCTTAATGAGATTAAATGTGTCCTTTTTTGGTTAATGGTTCATATCAAACATGAATAGCCGGTTCAGAAAATAGTTTCATCTCATAAGATATTTATTAGTATTTACTAAGTTGAAATA